CTTGTCCCTGTGCACAATCAATTGCTCCCGCGAGTGGGCTAAAATCAGCCAGTCGTTGAGATAATTGAGTATGCGGATGCCCGCGAGCCGAAGGGGCGCTAGGGCACCCTCCGCGAGTTTGGTGAAGACCCGCGGAGACAGAGAGAGCCCGAAGGGGAGGACCTTGTACTGCCACGCTCGACCCTCGAACGCAAACCGCAGAAATTGGCGGTGGCGTGGAAGAATGGAGACATGGAAATACGTGTCCTTCAGGTCTATGGCTGCAAACCAATCCCGAGGACGAACGCATTGGAGAATGCACCTCTGCGTGAGCATTCTGAACGGCAGCCTGTGCAGACAGCGGTTCAAAACGCGCAGATCAGATTGGCCGTGACCCACCGCTCTTTTTGGGTACGATGAAGTATGGGCTGTAAAACCCACTCTCCATCTCGGCTGGAGGAACCGGCTCGATTGCACCCTTCGCCAGGAGGGCAGCAATCTCCTCTCGCAAGACAGGGGCGGACAGGGGGTTGACCCTGGAGAAAAACACGCCCGTGAACTTGGGGGGCCGTCTCGCGAACTCAATTGCGTAACCGAGTCTGATTGTGCGTATGAGCCACCGCGAGGGGCTGGCCCGCGCTAACCAGGCAGGCAGAGCCCTCGCTAATGGAGTCATCGCTACAAACGCTGACGTACCAGCGGTGGGGCAGCGCGGAGTGAGTGTGCTGATCCGGGAAGCCAGGGGGGCCCCGCGGAAGACCTGAAGGAGAGCGATTCGCTCTGGCTCCGCACCCTGACTCCGGAGAGGGGGCTGGAGGGCTGAGGTAAGGGAGACCGTCCCCCCCGCGCTCGTGAGCCACTGGCGAAGCACGCAGAATCTGCGAGCCGGAAGGCAGCGCGTCCCGGACTGGCAAAATTCGTGCTGTCACATCCGGGGAAGGGGAAAAGTGCTCTTTTATTGATGTTTTGGTGGCACTGAAAAGTACCGTTGTTATCGGGGCCCCACCCTCCAGCGGGGAAAGAGCAAGTTTCCTCTTCTCCGGATGACCTGTCTCAGGGACGCTTCGCGGTCCGTTTACCGGACTTAACGGCGCCCTGGGCAGGGGGGGCTGCCTGCTTTCAAGGTGTACGCCGCTTGGCCGGAGGCGCAGGCGGGGCAGCACTCGTTGGCGGGCGCCCTCGGCGAGGAGCAGCGGAGGTGGATGGCTCGGCGGGCGGAGCGGGCTTACGGCCACGCCGATAGATGACATTGCCCATCGCATCCGACTGCTCTTTCACCGCCTTGAATTCCTGGGTGAATTCACCGACGGTGTCGCCGAACAGGCCAGCCTGGGATATGGGCGAGTCAAGAAAGCGAACATTGTCAACATCGCGCATATCGGCCAGGTTTAGCCAGAGGTGGCGTTCCTGAACCACAAGTGTGGACATCGTCCTCCCCAGTGCACACGCAACGGACTTAGTAGTCCGAAGAGCATAGTCGGTCGCGGTGCGCAGCTCATGTAATAAGCTTGGGTTGGACCCGCCCTCGTGCAGCTCGGCCAGCGCCTGCGCTTGGTAGCGCTGGTAGGTGGCCATCGCGTGCAAAGCAGAAGCAGCCTAGCCCATAGCCTTATAAGCTCTGGCTCCGAGGGAGGCAGACAACCTACAGGCTTTGGATGGGAGGCGGGGCAAACCCCGCCACGTAGAGGCGCCGCGCGGACAAAGATTGACCGCGATAGCGCACTCCACTGACGGGATCGCCTCATACCCCCTGGCAGCTCCGCCGTCAAGGGCGGTGAAGGCGGAGGTACACGCAGCACGGGCAGAGAAAGGTGCCCTCCAAGACTGCATGAGCCTACTGTGCACTTCCGGGAAGAAGGGGACGAGAGGCTTCGAAGGCTTCGCCTTCTGGTCCTCTACGTAGCACCCATCTAGTCGGTCTGGCCGCGGAGCTGGGGGATGAACCATCTCCAACCCCACGGCCGAAGCAGCCCGGGAAAGCACGGCTAACATGTCTGCTTCAGGATCCGATTTGACGGCGCTCACCTGCCCGGAGGGGGCGAGCGGGTCCGGATCTTCGTCGGACAGTGAAAGCCCACCCTCCGATGCCACGGAGGTCATCTGATCTCCGGTGTCAGCGAGTGTGAGAGCTACCATCTGGTTAGACGGATCACTCCCACTACCCGAAGCTTGGATGGAGCGCCATGAGGAGCGAGAGGTCCGCGAGCCCGTGGGCGGCGGATTATCTCCCGCTGGAACCCTCAGATCTGCCCGAGCGCCCGCTGCTTTTTTAGAACAGGAGGCAACTGGGGTGGCTCGCTCTCTTGCGAAAGTTAGCCGCGATCTTAGCTGTGCAACGGTCATGGCATCGCAATGACGACATGAACCGCCCGCGAGCACCGCATTAACATGCTGGACCCCCAAACATGCAATGCAGTGATCGTGTCCATCATCCGGAGCCAGGAAACCCCCGCATCCAGAAACGCACAGTCGGAGCGCCATCCTGAAAAGGACGTGCTGCACGACTGTGTTGCTCTTTTAGGAAAGTTTGCAACAATACGCACCGCTCTGGAGGACCGGACCCAAAGAACCGCAGGCAAGGGAGAAACCCAGCTCGACCATCTGCTCGTTCGCTCTGAAGTGCTGAACAGCAAAAGGAACCCTCATCGACTCACTCAGAAAGAATCTGAAGCGAAAAGGATAGCGTTTGCTGGCTTCAGGTGTGCTTATATGCTGGGATAATTGCCGATGCAGCACACCTGCGCAAGCTTACGCTGCCAATTAATTTCATTCATTGGCCCGTTCAATAACTCTCCAGACAAGCGGCTTCTGATCCGAATCCTCCCATTCGTGGATTCAATTAATCCACTCTATGGCACTGAAGTTCCCCAACCGAAGGGGAACTACTTTTTTCCACGTTGGATTCAAATCATAAGCTGACAGTTAAACAGCTGAGCAAGCATCTTTTGAACTTTAGATCTGTAGTGTCTGCTTTTTGCTGGCTGTATGTGGGCGGAGTAAAACACAAAGGGTAAAAAGGTTGTACGGGTGCTGATATTACTTAAATATTATATGATGGCTATCAGCCAATCAGATTTAAGAACCAGACAGAACTGTTGTATGTATATATATATATATATATATATATATATATATATATATATATATGTATGTATATATGTATATATATATATGTATGTATATATGTATATATATATATATGTATGTATATATATATATATATATATATATATACACACACACATTTATATATACATACATACAACAGTTCTGTCTGGTTCTCGAATATATATATAGTTTAAGTCAGAATTATTAGCCCCCTTTTGATTTTGTTTTATTTTTTTCAATATTTCCCAAATGATTTTTAACAGAGCAATGAAATGTTCACTGTATGTCTGATAATATTTTATTTCAGCTAGAATAAAAACAGTTATTAATTTTTAAAAAAACCTTTTTTAGGACAAAATTATTAGCCCCTTTAAGTTAATATTTTTTTCGATAATCTACAGAACAAACCATCGTTATACAATAACTTGCCTAATTATCCTAACCTGCCTAGTTTAACTTATTAACCTAGTTAAGCATTTAAATGTCACTCTGATCTGTATAGAAGTGTTTTAAAAAATATCTTGTCTAATATTATTTACCGTCATCATGTCAAAGATAAAATTAATCCGTTATTTAGAAAGTTTTTAAAACTATTATTCTTAGAAAAGTAGTGAAACAATCTTCTCTCCATTAAACAGACATTGGTGAAAAAAATTAACAGGGGTGCTAATAATTCAGGGGGGTTAATAATTCTGACTTCAACTGTATATATATACAGGCCCAGATTGGCTGATTGGGAGGACAGGGAAAATTCCCGGTGGGCCGGTCCGTTTTTTGCTAGTGGGGGTCGGTGTCCCTAGCTGCTTGCACTCAGAAGTCACACTTTTTTCATTTATTTATTTATTTGACCATAGCCTCACTCTTTTTATTCATTATTTTGCCACAGCTCTGCTCTTTTTCATTTATTTTCATTTATTTCATTTATTTTCTCACAGCCCCATGAGCTAAATGCAGCCTGCAGGTTAATAATCATGTAACTGACCCCAAAACAGTGGCACCTTAGTGAAAATTCAAATGAATTCAAATAATTAATATTAATGAATATATATGTATATATATATATATATATATATATATATATATATATATATATATATATATATATATTTAAATTGTCTATGTAACAAAGACAAAAGCCAATAAATAATAAAACTTGTTCTATGTGCTGTTTGAGCAGAATGATTGTGCTCAGTTTTAACTAAGCTTTCTTGCCATGTATTAAAATATCATGCCAACATGATACAATTCTGTAATACTGAAGATCTTTTAGAATTACAGTTATCCATTTGTTCAGGAAAAATCATAACAAAAGGAGTAACATTTTTATTTCTCATGCTAGTTCTTTGACGTCATACACAAATAAGCATAATTAATCATGAATTATTTCTGTTCATGATTAAAACTCATATCTTTATTTAAACAATAAAATTAATTTAATTAACACTAAATCCTAACCACCCAGCAGGATTTCTTAGGATTGTAGGATAAATGGTCAAGGCAAAAGGGTTTGGTTTGGTTGGTGTATTAGGGTAATTTATCATAACTAATGTAGGCTATTGCACAAACCTTTAATTAAAACATGAATATTGTGTCCCACTGTAACATATTTTTGTGGTTGACAAGAGGTTGCACAAAGCACAAACAAAGATTTTTTTTCTAATGAAAGGTTATTCAAACTCTTAATAAGCATAGGCTTTGAGCACTGTCCCATCCACTTAAATTGTGTAGGTGGGACAAAATATAAAAACCTAATACTAAAAAAAAAACCTGATATTACCATGATTATTACTGATTTTATTGCAGTAACGAATCATATTCATGTTTTCATTTTCGTTTGTATTGTATGGCCTTATGAAAATTAGCTAAAGCTTTTTTTCCTGACATATGGGCCTTACCTTACCTTAGGCTGCTGAGTCAACATCCTGTTAGACCTGTTAGGCCACGCTCCCCTAGGTGATGTCACACTAAAGAGGGCATGCGATTTTTGTAGTCGAGGACACAGGCTGTTGAATCTGCACTTTACCTCAACGTGTTTCTCGATATTTGACGGTAAGTTTTTAAACACCAATATTTATTTATCTCCAGTTCGTTCATTGCGGGTATTCACTTTCTTAACAGCAGTCTTGCTATAATGGTTTTTGGGCTTTTCAAATGAGCCGCGGAGGTTTTGTGAGGCTGAGCACTCGACTACACTCGACACGATTTGAAGTAATGCAGCAGACCACTGATTTGTCAAACAGACGTGTTGTCTTTGTCTTTGTAAGCAACGGATGGTCCTTCTGGGAAATGTACAGGAGGAGTAAAATTATATATATATATATATATATATATATACTGTAGAAGAACTGTAGTCAAGTAAAAGGGAGTAAAAAGTAAAAGTTGCCAGAAAAAAAAGCAAATAATAGTACTTGAGTATAACAAAGTATTATCTTATATATTACACCGCTGTTTGAAATATAAGCTTATGTCGTATGGTATGTGAAATCCATACATGAACTTGTATATTAAGTATGTAATTTACATATTTTGCCATAGGAGCTCCTCCCAACAGTTACTTTCATTTCCTCTTAAAGGGTGTGGATTAAAAATGAAACGAAAGAGAGAAGAACTCCATACGTGTGTGTGTGTGTGTGTGTGTGTGTGTGTATACATACACAAACACACACACACACACACATATATATATTAAGGCTGTAACGATACACCAAACCCACGATTTGGTTCGTATCACGATTTTTGACCCACGATTCGGTTCGTATCACGATTTTTTTTTTCCGTGGGGGGTGGGAAAATTTTTTTTATTAAACATTTAAACATTTATTAACATTTGAAAAATCTTTATAAACTGAACATCAAAGAACAATATTAACTATTCAAATTATTAACAATATAAATAGCCATATATAAAATAAATAAATAGCCAAAGCTATATCACTTCTGTTTTCTTTGTAACAAAATACTATTGAAAAACCAAACAGAACTAAACTCCATAGTGTAGATAGTTCAAGCATGTTGAAAAATCTTTTTCAAGTTCTCTTACATAGAAAAAGTAAATTAAATGGCTACTAGGGATGCTCATTTCGTTAATTTTGGTTAATCCCATTAATCGGTTATTAACGGTTAACTGGTCAGATTACTATTAATTTTATATTAAACAAATTGACGTGTCTATTTTGTGTCTGACACATTAAATATTGCATTTTAAAATACAGATTTTTTTATATGCATATTAATAACAGAACACAACAACAGAGCATCTTCATGCACCTGCAGTGTTTGGCACAGAAGAGCAGAATAATCTAAATAAAATGAATAAAATAATAGGACTGCCCTAAATTATTTTGACTTGAATAATTAATTTATATTACAAAATGAAAATACTGACTGATTCTTTTTAATAACCAGCATAGGCTGTTTTTTTCCAATCATATGTTTTTTCTTCCGTCAAATAAAAATAGATGACTTCCTTAAATTGCCCGCTCCACGGGAAATATGCATTTATTTAATGCCCCACTGTTATTATTATAAATCACAAAACCTTTTACATTTTTATTAGAAATCATTATTTTAAAGAATATGTCCTGATATAGCCTGGTTTCCTCTCTCTCCCTCGCGGTTCAAGTGCGCGCTGCGTGATGAAAAGACAGCAACATCGCGCTCATATGTAGACTTTTTGTAAACAGTTTTGTTGTTTAAATATGATATTGCATTAATCTGCGTACATGCTTTATAAGCTGTAAAATAAAAAGTAAAGCCTATTTGTTGCGTTTATTACGCAGATCCAGGTCAACATCAGCGCTGGTTAGCATCAACACGTCTAAATTAAACAGCAATATTCTTTTTCCATTTTGCTTCTTTGGCAAATGTGTCTGTAGGCACGGGTTATACGTTATCATCCCGCAAATTAAGTATGCCTTGCAGTTGAACAGGTGCCGAAAACAAGGCGCACATCACTGCCTTTATGTTGACAAGGAAAAAAGAGAAGCACGGTCCTCTTATGAAAGATTGAATCAGCTGGGTATCGATTGTGCAAAAGTGTTGCTGTCTGTGTTGTAAATTTAATACTATTGGGATATTCAAGATATGTATATTCATCCAGCTCTGGATAACTTAAAACAGCGATTAGACCTTCAGAGCAGTGTTAATGCGTCCTGAAGTAAAGCGAAACGACTATAAACTCCAGCAAGATAGAGTGATTATATACAGAGCCATATACCTTTATCTCTAAATAAAGTATAACTATAGAATCTGTGTTCATCCTTAACTGAAAGCTTCGTTGTGTTTTCTGACCTCACGCATCGCGCACCTGTCAGTCAGCACTCTCAAAGGTTCAAACAGAAAGTAATGTGCAATGCTAAGAGCTTAATTTTCGAGCACTGTAGAGGCAATGTTTTTGCAATATTTTTATGTTTTCTAAACGTTCAGATTGCCTATTTTTAAATAGTCATATCTCCGCCAAATATTATCAAATGACAACAAACCGTACATCAATAAAAAGCTTTTTATCCTGTTTTCCAGAGATATTTACATCTCAAGTTTATTCTTTCCAAATAGAGCTATTCAAGCCATCTGGTGAAATTGCATTAATACTGCAATATATAATCGCAGAAAAACAAATTTACGAATATACGAATAAAAAATACGCATTAGCCACTAAACTGACAAATTGTAAAATACTTACGTTTCCTCGTGAGATCAGGCTGGTAGTTTACAGGATTATGCGTGGTTTAGCTCCTGTTGGAATATCTAGCCAATTCCATGCGTGTTCAAGAGAAAAGGTCAGGAGAGGTTTTTCTTCAATGTCAAAAATCGTAACAATTTATTGTATACAAATGAATAATTTGATGACAGAGCTCTGGGTTACATTACCCCAATGCAATACAAGAATTACATTCAAGAGGTTCGCAACTAACATACATTTCCTGACTTCAGCATATATACACAACCGATCTTAACAGGTGGAGTTTTGGTGTAACGTCACTTGTCAATCATTGTTCAGTCCTCCATCGGCCGCCCCTTCGACATACTTCCTCTTCTTCTACGAATTCTCTGCACAACAACCAAGCATACATCTTTCTGTGTTTTGTGTTCAGTTTTAATACCTCTCTTCAGGCAGGAAGTTTCTGCAGAGCTGAATTTAATTTTGGACCCGCATCCATCTACTTCTGCAAAAAATGCTAATTAGTATGCACAGCACTCACCCACAACATTAGAAGTTCAGTTAATATATGACCCTTACATGACAAATACAAATAATTGTTTGATTAAAAGAAAAAGAGACAAAAATAATAAAAAACTGATTCCTATTTTACAACAATCCCCCTTTCTGCTCCTCTCTGGAGCAGACAAAAACAAAAACAGATAGTCAAATCCCCACAAATGTTTTAACTGTCATTACTGCAGGCCTTTGCCTAAATCTTTGTTTTACCCCTTATTCAAAATAATCTTTAACATCCTAGTGCTCCTATATTATGTTAGATGATGCCCAAAACCCCTTTTAACTCAATTTCTTTAACTTTTCTGCATTCAGTTTATAATTTCCACACTCTTGGTTCTCCTCTTTGGTGGTGCAGTCTCTTCCTGTCAGGGAACACAGGCGGACACAAGTGCAGGTTAAGAGTTTTTATTCTTGATCAAAAAATTACCCTAAAAGGGTGCAAATCAAATCCAACTGGGCGTTTGCAGAAAAAATAGGAGAAAAACAAAAACAAAAAACTGCATAAAAAAAACTCCCAGAAGAGGGCGCTGATAAGTCCTTGACAACAGAGACCGGGTCCTGTCACCAAATAAATCCAAAAGGGGGCGCCCAGTTCACAATCTTCAAAAAAGAGAAAGCAAAAGACAGCCGGGGTGATCCAAAAATAAATGCAAACAATAGCGTCTATGATACTGTTACCCGGCAGGGGGCGTGCTGGTACGTTGCCGTGAGGGGAATGCGGAAGTGGAGCGTGAGCGAGGGAGAGGAAGCCGGCAGTCAGTTGAAGCCGATGGGCTCCGAGAGGTTGAAGCAGTCCGGCCTGGGAACAGAGGAGGTTAAGGAGAGGCAAAGTGCAAGAAGATGGTTCTGGCGTGGAGCAGCACAACAAGACAGAGTTGGAAAGGACAGGAGAGCCACGACAGGAGACAAGACGAGACCAGACGCGAGCGGCTCGGCGTGGGCGCGCTCGCAAAACAACAATCTAGCACTGGACTACACACAAGGAGGGGAATAAATAGGACACGAGAGGAATCACTGATAGGGTGCAGGTGAGTGAAAATCAATCCTAATAGATGGTAAATAGGGTAACGAGAGGGAGGAGAGATACGGAGAGCGATCAAAATAAACATTCACGTGCGCTCACCAGAAGTAAACAGAAATGGGGAACAGACAGCATGATCAGACTGAGGATGTGACAGTACCCCCCCCTCTACGAACGCCACCAGGCGCTGCATGGGGGGGCCTACCTTGCCGTTGACGGAAATCCTCGACCAGCGCCGGATCCAGAACGTCCCGAGCCGGGACCCAGCTTCTCTCCTCCGGACCATAACCCTCCCAGTCCACTAAATATTGAAAGCCCCGACCTCTGCGTCTGATGTCTAGCAATCTCCGCACAGTGTAAACTGGGGAGCCATCCACTAGACGGGGGGGAGGGGGAATGGGGGCAGAGGGAACAAGACGTGAATACAATACAGGTTTAACCCTTGACACATGAAAGGTAGGGTGCACCCGACCAAGCATAGGAGGGAGCTTGAGCCGTATCGCCACCGGACTCAGGACCTTGGTGATCCGGTATGGGCCAATGAACCTGGGAGCCAACTTGCGTGAGGCTACCCTGAGAGGCAGGTCCTTGGTAGAAAGCCACACTCTTTGACCACATCTGTAACGAGGAGCGGGAGTCCGGTGGTGATCAGCTGCTGCTTTGGTCCGTTTATTAGCCTGGGCCAAGGCCTCCCTGGCTCTCTTCCAGGTGCGTCGACACCGCTGGACGAAAGCAAGGGCAGACGGAACTGCAGCTTCGGGTTCCTGAGAGGGAAACAAAGGAGGTTGGAACCCCATAGAGCATTGAAAC